GCGTTCGGTTTGAGGGTGATTATGAAGATTTACAAGGGGTACGGTTTATGGCTTAGCGGCAACAGTTACGTGAACGGATTAGAGGTTTTGTTTTCTTTATTAAGGCTCTCCATTAGTGTCTAAAATTTATACGGGAAAATATACAAATTTCAGCTATGTGTAAAATCTATATTTTTTAATTCTACAACAAGATCCACGTCTCTATCTGTAAATAATAGCATAACGTACCCCGCTATGATGTAATTTTTTTAAAATATTACTTAGATTCTCTAAAAAATTACCATTATTGTAAAACTTTGCCCAGGTTTTTCTTTGTAACGGTGCAACATTTAAAACAAATTTTTTATTGACATGTAGATAATTAAAATATGCACCTCGCTACGTTTAATTTTTTTTTATAATACAAGCTAAATTACAAAAAAACTTTAAAAAATGGATGCAACCCCCATTACCCTTGGACCGAAAATCTCAAGCTTCTTTCATGATTTACAGCCGTTATTACCCCCCATCGAGCGCTTAACCCCTAATAATGATTTTACACAAGCGGTACCTGGAAGAAGCTTTCCTTTTTGTTGAATTTCAAACTGATGGTATCTGGTTTTAGCTACATTTTTTTTAAGTCTAGTAGCATTGTGGCCAATTTATAGAACATTTAACTGTATTCAAATTTTAATTCGCGAATTATTCGACGTTAAAGAACGCAAAATAAATGACAACAAAATTCGAAGCAGATACACAGTGTGTCCCCGGATAGGGGAAACGACTCTTGTAAGAGATAAATAAATTTCGCTCTAAATTAGCACTGCTTATTAGTTAAAAATTAATTCCTAACATAATTTTAGTTTAAAAAAATCAGGTATATGTTGGAAATTAAAAAAAAAATTTTTTTCTCTAAAGTGCAGAGGACTATCTTATCGATATTTTTGTCGAATCTGTAATTAACTGCATTTGGGCGAAAACGACCCTCGAAAAATCGAAATTTGAATTTGCCGGGCTAATGTTACTAAGAAACGAACTATCAAGTCATTGTTGCCAAAGGAAAACTTGTCATAATTTGACTTGATAGTTCGTTTCTTAGTAACGCTAACCCGGCAAATTCAAATTTCGATTTTTCAAGAGCCACTTTCGCCTAAATAGAGTTAATTGGAGAATTGACAAAAATGTCGATAAGATAGCCCTTTTCGAGCTCCATTAATCAGATATTAATTTCTGTTACTTATGCAGCCGGAAAAAAATTAAAACTAATTTCCCATGTTAATTTCCTATATCCAAACCTGCCTGGGGCAGCCGGTATAAACGAATTATAGGAGATGGTGATAGTAGTGTTTATAATAAAATAAAAAATATCAAACCATATGGCCCGGATTATTATATTGAAAAAATCGAGTGTAGAAACCATATCTTGCGAAATTATTGTAATAAATTAAAAGAATTGGCCAAATGCGCTAAACTCAGTCCAAAAATTAGAATTATATTACGGCATGTATTAAAATTTCGAACGGCTGTAGTAAGTTCGGTCAAGTATAGAAAAAATAAGTCGGACCTCTCACACATAATAATATTTGATCTAAATTCGTCTCCTTAGTGGAACAACTAGATAACTTAAATTTTAGGCATTTTTAAAGTATTTGTTGCAGTTGCAAAAACCTAAAACCTAAATTTCTGTCACATTAAAAAAACAGTTTAGTATATTACACACTTGTATGACTAACAATAATAATTTTTGATTACTTTCAAGATGTAGTTTTTTGTCTTTTAAATCTTTAATCTGCAGTTACTCAAAACTATAAATTTCAAGTTATCTAGTTGTTGCACTAAGGAGACGACATATTTTGAATGTTTTTAATTAATTACTTTATTTACTGATGTATCAGAAGTAGGGTAGTGCCATTTAAAATATACAGCTTGAGGTGGCTGTGGCTTCAAGGCTTCACCGAAACGGTTTCTCGATAACTTTCAGTTCTAGAAATATCGCCGATTCCAAGTTTTAAAATTGACACCCTGTACCTATGTGTAAATGTGTAATTTTGTTTTATAGTGTAGTGTTTGCTAAGTCTAATAAAATATTTTGTGTGAATATAAAGCCATTCATGGTCCTTATAATTTCTTTTTTATTTGTGTTCGGTTTATAAAAGATTATTTATCTTCATTAAGTATTTAACAATGCAACTTGGCATTTTGTTATTATTATTAGTATTATTATCATATATGAAAATAAGGGAAAGAGCACATTCCGAAAATTTTACTAAGATTATTTTAAAAGGTTCGGTCTGGTGTGGTCTTAGCGACCGTCGCCACAGGCGGTCTTTTAATCCGTTGATTGACAGCTGCCAGTGCAAGCCTAAACGCCCTGCAATTTGGGTTGCATATTTCTGAAAACTGAAATTTTACTTCACTGCATAACACCCTTAAAGCTAAATTTTAATTTTTAGCAATTTGTTGTTGGCTAAACAAAAAAAAACAAATATATTTAATAACATTATTAATTATAATGAAGCAAACGTTAAATAATAAAAAAAATAAAAATAAATCTCTTATTATTATTATTTAAAATAGCTTGTTTTTTGAACCTCCTTCATAAACTTGCATAAAAAGTAAATAACTGTTTTTTATCATAGATTTTAATAGCTTTTAAGACCACAAAAGTTTAAAACTATAGAACTTGTGTTGCCTTCAAAATTTTTTGCAACACTAATATTGAATCAAAAATTTTACTAAATTTAGAAATTATTTATTATAAAGAAATATGTCAAAATTGACAAGATTCCAAGATAAGAGTATGTTATGAATAAAATATGTTGTTATTGACGACGTATTTTATAGAAAAGTGTATATTAACGGCAACATAAGAGGTAAGCTTATTCACCATAGAAAAACAGTATAAGGGATTAGTGTTGGAAAAAGTAATAGCTATTAAGACAACTTAGAGTTTTATACAGTCTAAAAATCGAGATCGTAGTTTGAATTCGAGCGACCAGAAGGAGCGAGAATTTTATAGGCTGAGATTTTTAAACTCGTGTTGTCCTTAAGATTTTTTGCAACACTAATATTGAATTAGAAATTTCACTAAATTCAGAAATTATTATAAAAAAGTATATCAAAATTGACAAAAACTATGCATCAGCGTATTTTAACGGCAACATAAGATGTAAGCTTAAATGCACCATAGACACAGTATGAGGTATTCGTGTTGCAAAAATGAAATTAAAAACAAAAGTCTCTAGTTAATTCTCGATCCCCACAAAAAAAAATTATGTAGGTACCTTGAACAACTTTTAGGATAATCAACTTTAGTAGAAGGATATAAAAATCTCATTAACTGTAATCTAAAAATAAGTTACAACGTATGTAGGTGCTAAAGTTTTTAATTCTCGTCCCTAATATGTTTAGAAGTAATTTCATCACAAGTATTTTGAGCCAACACAATCTTCCTTGACCTCATTTTCCTTAAATTTTCCTTGTTTGAGCCAAAACAACCATCACTCTCACTCTTCTGCGTATTACAAACAAAAGTGTTTTATTTTGCGTTCAAAATAACTGCATAATTTGCCACAAGGCTCGAATGCCGAAAGTGAAACACTTCAAAGCTTTCGAATCCTGGACCCAGCTTAAGCAAATAAACCATTTCCCGGTTTAATTCTGGTAAAATCCCGCATAATGCAATGTTTTGATTCCGTCGCACGTGGCTAAAGATCAAATGAACCTTCCCTATAACTCAAAGTTGGCGTAAAAGTGTGCGAGGCTAATATTACACCGCCTCGAAATAGCCGCCCGGATTATCTTTCACATGCGCCTCAAAGGGAAAAATTCCACAACCCTTTGTCACCCACGACATGACGGGGGCATTTTTGATTAATTACATGGGCATGGGTGCCAAACAAAGCTCGATATTTCCAGGAACTCCACCCCTTGCAGCAAACTCCAATGAAAGCTTTTCATCAATCAGAGGTTAATTGTGGACGTTTAAGCGTGAAGAAGGTTCGAAATATTTTGATTGGTAATGGAATTCCACGAATAGCACACATGCTGAAGCATGGTTCAAGGAAATTATCGATAAAACTTTTTCGCACAAAGGGAAATTCGTTCAACGGCTCACACAATGTGCCTGAAAAATCACCGCCCTGCAATGCACACAATATTTACTAAAAGTTATTTTCGTGCATTATTAAGGTGTCACAAGCTGTTATATTGTTAAGTGTGCCACTGCATGAGGTCGAAGAGTTATTGCGAATAATTGCAATTGTTGTTAATGGTCTTGGTAGCAAATTTTCATTTCATAAATTTAATGTATAAATGACAATTAGAGAGGTTGCATTCAATGCACAGCTAAATGTACAGTAAAAAAGTAAAAAATAAAATAATTAAATGTTCGGCGCATGTAATTTGAATACTTATTCATAATTCTAACGAGGAATTTAATACTGATTAACATTCTTGTAATTACGATCATTGATTGAGCATAATGAGGTCTGCTGAAATAAAAGTTTGATTTTTAAAGCATTTATGTTAAAAATTTGAGCTATTTTATCTCCTCCCCAATTTAATTTAATTCCTGTTTCAATTTTTGATATTTTTTTGAAGTAGTCAAGTCAAAAATTAATACAAAGAAAAAAGACAAGCTAGCAGCAGTTTGAGCCTGAATTTTAATATCTTTTTAAACTGCATGTGAGTAAGTGATATCTAATAACACAAAAAAAACTTTCAGCACTCAGTTAAAACCCTGAAACAGAGCTGTATTTCTCATTAGAGCCATTTCATTCGTAAAATGTAAAAATTGAAGTACAATGCACACTTCAAACATCATTTACGAAGGTTTAATTACAGATTACGTGATTAAATTACGTTTACATTTTTAGCAGTTTTGGGTCAAAATTTCGACGAATTAACTTTGCAATATAGGATTCATAACGCTATTAAAAAACGTTAAATAATTTTGATGTTTATGACAGTAAAAGTGTATAATAAAAACAAAAATAGAATTATAAATCTTCTCTAATTACCGTTAAATTTGGGAGACGACGGTCCAGAACTGTTGCTTCCGGAATGCGACTTGCATGCACGTGCATCCCTGTGATTGTTATTGGCATATCCGTACCAGCCTAGAAGCTCATTCATGGCTGTTTCAGCAAATTCCTGCAACACATTAACAATGATTCTTTTACGAGAAATTTTATCACCGGCAAATATCTTTAGAATTTGTTAATTAGTCTCGAAACGTTTTCGTGTTATTACTAATAAAAATCTTATCAGAGAAAAAAATCCATAAAACATTGCCATCTCGTGACAAAGCCGCGATTAAAATAAGAATTTTATTCCACACTCGTCGTAATAATATAGCTGTTTCTTCAAATGCAAAACAGGGGGGTGTCTGTTTGCTTATTTTAATTAAACGAAGTGGTTATTAATAGTCAGAGTTACCCGATGCTTGTCTAAGAGAAGGCGAAATAAAACACCCGGGTTTCATTCCTGCAGATCATGTTCGCACTCTACATGCAGTTTTAATATAAGGAGTTGTTGCAGTTTGCGAAAACGATAGCCTCTCCATCTCACCCGAGAAGCAACGTGGTTTCGATTCAAATTAGCATCACCAGGTGTGCTGGAACGTTAAAATCCTGACATTTGAGTACTTTTTAATAGGCCAACACTTTTTTGTCCTACATTTTTCAATTTATGATAAAAAATATTTTAGTGTAATGCGGTTAATACAGCTCTGTTCTTATAATATAAGTTAGATGTACCTGGTGAATTCATAAAAAATCATAACACAAAGGAAATAAAGTAAAAACTATGTTGTTGCAGAACACGAGAAATTCAATACGTTAGAATGAAAGGTTAATTAATTTATAAGCTAGGAAATGTAGGTATTCTATGGCTTTTCCATGTTATAACACAGCAACTGTGTGATAATAATTTTTCAAATGATTAGATTTATTCAGCTAATGTAGTTTTACGGTACATAATGCACATATAGGTGGAGCTTGAAGGAAACAAGATATCCACCTCTGCGGAGGAGTTAAAGAGACGAAGAGGGCGTAGCTGGTTCAGCGTAGTAAACAGACACCGTGGTGTCAACTTTCAAAATGTCTCTAATTATACAGACAGAACAGTTTTGCCGCCAAAGAGTTCACCTATTGAAATGTTACCACCAAAAGTAACATTAGAACGAAAATGAGAGAAAAACCGAACGAAAAAAATTGCAACACGTTATTAATGGATTTTTATTTTACTGATTCATAATGGTATTTCGGGACCTGAAATCTGATATTTGCACAGATTTATTAATTGAAAGATCGGATTGATTTTCAAACATACTAATTTGCAAAATACGATGTTACATAAACAAATTTTGAAGGGGGTTTAGTTTCGATCTAATAAATACAGGAATTATGTTACTTCAATGTGCTAAAAGCCTTTGGATACATATATATGCCTTATAATTGTACTACATTAGCAAATAACAATTAATAAACACATTTGTGTTGTCATTATTTTTTTATAATAAATAATTTTGAAAAATGGTAACACCGATTTCTAAATTTAGTTTATTTGTCTTATTCTATTTGCTCATACTATTTTCTCGATACTTACATCAGTTTTTTGTTATACCGGGTGAACCCAGTTTTAGCCGCCTCCCCAAATAAAAGTGCATGGTAATGGTAATTTTTGCATATTTTGGCAAACTTTTAAATTGTTTACTCATATTACCTATATCAGCCAAACAAAAATATAACTTTTTTTATGAAAAAATATTTTAACAATAAGTAAAATTACGGTAGTAAATTGTCTTTAATTATAATGGGTGTGGGTCCTTTCTGTAACAAGTTTATTACTTCAACTTAACAAATCATAAATTGGAATTATTAGAACTAAAATTCACGATAATTAAAAGTAAGTTTATAAATGGCCTTAATTCAAACTTTGTTCTATTTAAATTTTTTGATGTAATTTTGTGACATTTTTGACGAGTTTCGTAAAAAAATAGGCAATAAAATTTTTGGTGAAATCATTTTTAAAAGATTTTGACCAAATAAATTAGCAGAATATTTTTTTTCTTAAAACCTAGACATTTTCTGAAACAAAATGCCGACGTTTCATGATCTGAGTAGAATTTTCATGAAAATCCGGGTTTCACTATGTGTCCACGACATATACATTTCATAGGGTAATAAATCGAAAAAGGACCATTTGTCTTACGTTACAGATTAAAAAGGTTTTACAAACGAGTATCACGAACAAAATCTTGAAAAACCTTAAAATGTTACAATTATTTTTTTTTAACAAACTATGCTCATTTAGGAACCAAAAAAAAAAAATAACTCAAAGTATTCTTGAACTCGTACGTTTTATACACTCTTACGTTTAGCCCTTACAACCAGAGACCCTACAAAAAATAGTATTTCCATTAAGGAAATTTCAAGTAAAAATAATCAACATTATAATGTTTGATTTACTTAATTTTTAACTAAATTATTATTTTATCGGTGTTACAACACACTTATTCATCAATCGCTTTCAAGACAACAAACGAAGCTGATTCATGAAATTTAATAAACATAAAGAAACAAATTTATTTGTTTCAAAAAACCGTCTTATTAGAAATATTAGAACGCATAACATTTTTTTTTTTTGATTTTACATCAGACATAATATGAAATCTGAAAATAAGTATAACTTATATCTATCATTTATCAAGTTTACCAATTTCTTCAATAACTTATTAAAATAGTAGATCATCAAAATCAAAACTTAAAAATAATATAAGAATTAAGTATAAAAGGTGGACCTTTTCCAAGCAAAAACGATTCTAGGAGTCTTAACCGATTTCACTTTTATTCAAGCATCATCAGAAGCTGTATTCGTAATTAAAAAAGAAGAAGTTCCATTTTATCCCCACATAATTTACCAAGCATTTTGTTCAAAAAAATAACCAGAAAAAAATAAATATGATTTGGAAAATCATGACAAACTCAAAAATTATTATTATTATCTGTTTTTATTTACAGTTTAAACATAAAGGGTTCTACCAATATGTGATAAATTATTATTAATAAAAGAAAAATAGAAAACTTTCGTGTATAACTTTACTACCCTTAAGAAATTTTGATTTAATACAAATGGGGCTTTTTTGCCTAATATTTTTGCTGACAATGGTTAGAAAGCAATATTTTAGAGCAGTAACTTTTAAAAAGTTCCACAAATAACTCAAATTAAAAACATAGCGCAACTCCTCTAGAAGACCCAATTTTAAGAAATATATAGCAAGTTTATAAACTGACTAAGATTTCAAACCCATTAAATTGTCTAAAGCAAATTTTTGTTAAGGAGGAAACATTCTTGGTGATCCATGGTTTTGGGTTTCAAATGCAATCGAAGAAAACTTTTGGTAGCCACTTTTAAATTTGGAAAATCTATCTATCTATAATTGATGTGTTTGTCACAAATGGCTCAATATAAGAAAAATTTATTTTTTGCTTTATAAAATTTTCTATTTTAAACTTGGACGTATTTTCTTTGTTAATTAAAAAAAAATCATAAGTAAAAAATTTAAAATTTTATTAAATTTAAGATTTTGTTCTCTCATATAATTAAATTCAAAAAAATAATTGTATTAGCAAATAAATGTATGGTAATTGGCAGTGGTAAACCAATAGCCCTCTTGGTAAGTTGATGTGAAGCGGCGAATGGTCCTTGTAAAAGAAAAATGTTTATTTGGCCAACATTAATGATCGGTAATTGTTTAAATAAAGGTTATTTGCTTGTCTGGAAAGCCGTTTAAATTAAAATAATAAACATGTTTTGAGAAGTATGATTTGTAAAGCATCAACGAAATATCCAGCGAGATGCAAGGATATAAAATAACGTGTATTTACGATGTCTGGCTGATGGGTATCAGTTGCACGCCATCTGCCATTTGATACCCCATATCAAGTATCGAGTTCAAGTTACACATCCATGTTAGGCCCGTGCTTAAGCCTACAACGCATTTAAATTTTAACACTGAAAATGATCAAAAAAATTTATATTTTTGATATTATATTCGATATATCCTAGTCCCCTCTTCCCCAAACGAACACATCAACAATGACGAAATCTATTTTTAAATCGACATTGTAAATCTGTATGCTTTTAAAATAAACCAGACTTGTTAATTAATTTCTAGTACAAAATTAAACTTACTTTTATATCATCGTTAAGCACTTCCTTTTTAATCGTAACTTTCGCAATCTCTTCAGCGGCACTTTTTTCCATAAATGAAAACCAAAAGTGCAAAACGAGAAAAACCAAAATAAGGTGCAAATCAAATACGCACTACGAATTCAATTTAATAGTGAAAAAATCTGTTTTCACATAAAAACTGCGCACACTAGGAAAATTTCGATGAGAACTACAAGCTGAGCTTTTCAATAATGTTGTGATTATTTTGGTACTCGAAGTGGGGTATTCCCGCCACACTTTTAAATTCAAAACGCGCAAGTCTACCAACTGCGCAAGCGCACATTTTTTAACCTACAAGTAACCCCAAAAAATTATTTTCGAATAATTTCCCAAAAAGCCGGATTGATTGTGTAATGTCCCAATTTGCAAAGCCAGTCCTCAGTTTAAAACACGTATGTTTTTTGATAAAAACAACTCGCATACGATTTTTAAAATTTCAGTTTATTTTGAAACAAGAAGTAAAAAATCTTTACAGAAAAATCTTCAGGGCTATAAAGCAAGTCCCCGACCCTGCACATCGGCAAGAACTAAAAGAATGGGCACGACGTGACTTTAGGAGTAACGCTCAACACACTGACGAAATAACTATTAAAATGTACATAAAGTATGGAGAAAGGTGTTTAAAGGAGTTGGAAACTACGATTTCTCTAGCAAAATAATAAGATTCAAGGGTTGTGATTTAAAATGAATATACTTGTTATCTAAAAACAATTTTATTCAATATTTTTATCACAATTTAATTAAGTTTAGTCCAAATAACGATAATGCAATGAATCACTAACAAAAGTGTAAAAGAAGCGGTCACAATGCCTGAAATAATCTTAATATGTGTAGTTCTTAAATGACTTGCGAAAATAATGTGAAATAAAGTATTAGTTATGTGCTGGCCATCCATAAACAAACACGGTAAAATGTTGACTAGAGCCAGCCCCATTGAAAACATTGCTAAATATCCCAAAAATTTCGTAACGACGTCAGGAATTTGCGTCCCTAAAAACGAATATTTTGGAATATATGAAGACACTGTGACTGTTTTTACAAGATCGGATACAGGGCCAATATAGATAACATCAATTTGATTGACTCGCTTGATTCTAAATAAATTCGTATTGTTCATTAAAATCGGTCTGAAACAATAAGTATCTTTGGGGCAAATATGGGGGTCAGCCATACAAAAATTTGTGGAGACTTCTATCACAGTTCTTCCCGGTAAACACGCATATGGGGGCAACTCCAAAATGCTGTCTTTACTATCCAGATATTCGAAACACAATTTGCCTTTATTATCTGAATGACAACAGCTTACAATTCCACTTTCTGAATGTTTCAAATGCACACTTTCATCGAGATTGTGAACAACATCTGCTTCAATACAAAACGCGGGTTTTTTTGTTCTTAAGGTCACTAAACACTTATACCACGTATTTTCATTGTCAACCTCACAATCGTTAATTTTTGAAATTAAGTCGCCGACATTTAAACCCCTATTTCCAATAATTGGTGATTTTTCCTGAATTTCTGTTACTACAACTTCTTTACCAAAGTTGAAAAAAGGCGAAAAAGCGGACGGCAGAGATGTATATAGTAAGTAAGCTAGGAAAGCTATCAACAAGTTGTGCCATACTCCAGCACACAAAATCTTAAGTCTTTTCCAAGGATTTAAAGAAAATAATTTATCAGAATTTAAATTCACATAAGCTACTGGCAGAATAAACATTACGTTAGCGCCTACATTAATAACATTTACGTCTTCTTGCACTGCAGCTAAAGCATGACCCAATTCATGTAAAACTGAACTAAACAATAAAGTCACACTGTAATAACCAATTTCAGATGCTGGAAGGTTAATTCCAGGGATTACTGGTTGAATTATGTTTTCCTCACTACTAGCGGACGATACAAAATTTTGAAAGAAAGCGACCAACAAAAGGTAGACAGAAGTAGGCAATAAAATTAAGCTCACACATAGCCCCAAATTAAACCACAAATTCAGAAATTTTGTGTTGTCACCTCCCCACCTAAGAAGCAATTTATTAAAAGCTGTTGTAGTCCACGAAAACTGGAAAAACTTAATCTCCAAGCCAGTTCCTTTAAGAAATTGGATGTATCCGTAATGAGAACATGACTAAAATTATGTAGTTTTTAAGAGCACTAAAGTGTTACAACTTACTTTAAAAAATCTATCCATAAAGAGAACCCATAAGTAAATCGCCGCTATTGTCAATAAACCGAAAATTAAATCCATGATTGTTTTAACTCGCAAGCATTGTAATTGTTTAGATTTTAAAATTATTATAGATTTCCTAACCTCACATATTTGACGTTTGACAACTTCACTCTGGCTACCAACATAACGGAGTATAGAATAAAAATCACCTATTTTTCAATTGTTTAGTGGGTGGTGTGGGTAAATTTTCCAAAAAAGACGATGGAACAGTCAGAATCGGAAAATAATACGGAGCTTGGAGACAAAAAGTCCTACGCCGGAATTCCCGAAGCCGAGTTTGTCGTAAGTGTTATAAAAGTCCAACCACATGTTTTAAAAAAAATATCCCGACATAACCTCAATCTCAACCTTATGATTTTTTATTTTCCAGGAAGATGTGGATGCATACATGGCGCGGCCTGAAAATAACAAAAACGTGGAAGAGGTATTAAAAAAATTGGATAACCAACATGCTAAATACAAGTTTATGGAATATAATTTGTTGTCGAAGAAAAAAAGACTCCAGAACCAAGTACCCGAACTAAAGCGTTCATTAACAATGATTGAAAAATTAGGGGAACAGAAAAATGAATTTGAAACTCAATTTTTGCTCAGTGAACAAGTTTTTGCAAAAGCTAAAGTGCCACCAACCGAAACTGTTTTCTTGTGGCTGGGGGCGAATGTCATGCTTGAATATAGTTTAAAAGATGCTCAGGAACTTCTAACGCAGAATATCGCTGCTGCTACTAAGAATTTAAAATATGTTGAACACGATCTAGATTTTTTGAGGTGACATTTTTCCTGAGGTTTAGACATTACTAAATTGAGTTGATTTTCAGGGATCAGTTTACAACTACTGAAGTCAATATGGCAAGAGTTTTCAACTGGGATGTAAAGAGGCGTCAGGCTGCCAAAGCAGCAGCAAAATGAAATTTTCAGTGACCATTTAGCACTGTTTTTAATTTTGTTACAAGATCTGTCACTGTTGCTTATGGTGTAATATATCGTCCAGTTTTTTGCAAAAAATATATTTTCGCGCTCGCACTTTTTAAAAGAGTGCATGTAAATGATTTGTCATCTACTTCCAGCTTGAGCATTTAATAACATTTAGCTTTTATTTAACTCGTTTGTCTCATTCTGTGAATAAAACAATTTCTAATAATGAAATAACTTTAATTGGTAATAAACACAGTGACTGTTAAAACTTTAGATTTTTCAAGTGCATAATGACACAAAATTGTTCAAATTTTATAAATCAAAAAATAATACTGCAAGAAACAATCCACATAAAATTCATACATGTGCTTCTCAAAAATGGAATATATTATATCGCGGTTAAGGCAACACCTGAATTTAATTTCCAGGTTAAGAGAGTTAAGTACATACATTGTTATAATTAGAGATCAATCTCAAATTAAAGTCCCAAGATAATGTTATTTTAAACAAAAATTAATTTCACAAGTCTAAAACAAACTAAACATTAATTCATAAAGGAACAAAAATAAAATTCTAAAAATAAAAAAAAACAATATATAATATGGCAAAGAGAAGCATTACTAATCAGCATTTTCTGGCGGTTGTTCAGCTGGGGCCTCTTCACTGCCCCCTACTGCCTCTTCTGGCGGGTTCTCATCGCCCCCTGTAGGTTCAAAACCTTCTTCTACCGGGGCACCTTCCTCGTCGGCTGGCGGTGGTGGTTCCATACTGATTCTCAATTCTTCTAGCTCTTGAGTGAGAGCATCAACTCGAGCCTGATATTCTTCAATTTTTGTTTTCATTTGAGTGAACGTTTCAATCCCAGCTTGCATGGCTAAGCGGTCTCGAATGTACCTAAATGTTGAAAGTCAAATTTCTGACAAAATATTGTGCAATAATTACTCTAAAGCATCTTCAGGCTTCTCAGGTTCCTCATAAAGATTCACGAGAACCTTGGTTAAAGCATCCATGACTCCATTTTTCTCCAGGTATTTACGGAACTCCTCGCGTTTTCCCTCGGACGGCTGTGTGAAAAAAATAAGGTTAGATAAAGTAGGGGTTTTAATAATTGCAACTTGCCTTGAATGTTGGATTCGACATTTTCCTCAACACGTGGCGTTGATAAATAAATCAGTGGTTTGTATATGTGTGAATCACAAGATTTGGACGAATTTATGGCTCGTTACCGTTCAAGTACCAAATTTTCGGTGAAAATTTGACACTGCGTGGAATAAAACGACAAATTAGAAACTGTCACAATACTTTCCAATAGGTTAATTAAAAAACATACGGAAATTATAAAATAAACGCTGAAAACGGCGTTTTCGTCAACAAACACAAATTCAAAGAAAATTCGTTAATTCGGAATATGCGCGGTTATTAGGTTGGTATCCATTGGGCAAATGGTTACTAGATGCCAAGTTCAAAAAAACTTCTAAATTGAAAAAAATTCCATTTCAATAGAAGTGATAATAATTGAAGCTATGTTACAAACCAGTCTTTAAATTACATATTCTAGTATTTGCTTGTAAAACCTGGTAAAACTTCTTTAATCTTGAAATATTTTTTTTTAAAAACACGAGATGTCATTGTCGGCAAATGTCAAAAAAGTGACAGTTGGTAAATAAAAAAAGAAGGTTGAAAAAATTATGTAGTTTTCTTTAAATCTGTTTGCTTTGTCAATTTCTTCAGCACACAAGAAGTAGGTAATTGGGGGAAGTACTTCAGTGTAGTTTTAATCTAAAGTCCTTGTTTTATTTAGAAAGTCTTCCAAGGCTTCACTTCTGAAATATGAGAAAAATATCGGAATTAAGGCGAAATTCGTCTGCAAGCCTTTCTGACGATAGCGAAGAAACAAGAGTGCGAAAATTTGCGAAACATATGCTAAAGAGCTCCCTATTTATTGGAACTTTTCTGGAAAAGAGGCTGGTTGAACCTTTGAACTCATATCGCGATGTAATAAAAGTATGTGACGATGAGCACGATCTGATTGAGAACTTGACGGCAGTGAGGAAACGCTGCTTGAAACATTTTCCAAAACATGTGTGGATTGGAATCACGGAACCAAAAACTATTGGTGCCCCAGCAGGTTACAATTTGTGGGTCAGTCTAGAAGAGGAAGTTTTTGGATGTTATTGGTATAAAATCAAAAATGTTGAATTTTCTTACAATGAAGTTAGAGTAAAGCTGGAAGTTGTGAGACCAGTGAGAGAGAGAACCCCAGTCCATAACATATCTCCCAGTCAGATCATTGATGATGTTTCTCAGAACAATTTGGGTGAATTGGGTACGAAAATGCAGGATTTTTTCAAGGATCAGTTGAGGGACTTGTTCACGGAAACATTGACTTGGCCTAACATTAAACAGGCCACTATATTTATCGTTCTTTTATTATCAACATTGATTACTTTTTTGATTCACACAATTAAATACCTTTTAGATTATATTCTGAAACTTTTGCGTGAAACGCAAGGACTTATCAGGGTTTGCACCCCAATTATTGTCAATTTCATGAAATTAATTTCAAATACAATTTCTGGATTTTATACTTTAATAGCAGTTTTGTGGCGAGATCCAGCACCTCGTACAATAAATCAGTTACAAATTTCTCCTTACGATGTACCATATTATGGGAGTAATATGAGAGCATTACCTTACCAGGGAGGAGATTTTTCAAGACATCGCAAGTCTTATGGATCTTCAGTCAAGATAACTCCATTAGATTAAATTTTATTGCATTATATAATATTGTTTACATTTTAACAATGTAAAGTGGGGCACTAGGTAAAGTCACTATATTGCAGTCGACTCACAATGAATATAATTTGTGTAATAATGGTTTTATCTTGGCTTAGGAATGTTTACTTTGGGACATGTTAAGATAAAGGCTAAATGTGATGCGTGGTAAAAAATTAACTCGTTTGTAATTTGTTGTAGATATAACGAAATATTTATAAGGAATACTAACTAAATGTACGATAAAATTGTATTTTTATAGTGAAGTTATGGTTTGAAATAAATCATATGAAATTAATACAGTTTGCTTGAACCTCGTATAAAATTTCAAGTCTCCCGCTTTTTTTGAAATGTCATTTTTGTTAGAAAGATCAGTGCTAAAAGTTACCAAATGGTTATTTGGTGATTTTTAGATTGAGGTTATGAGCATTTTATGTTTATTTATTCGACAATAAGATTAAGTAATTGTATTTGACTGCATTTGATATATTTTTTAAATTCAATAATTTGCTGCTTCTAAATGGTCTTATCTACAATGACCGAAGACGTGCAAAGACATTCTGTGCATACTTTGGTGTTCCGGTCTTTGAAACGGTCTCACGACATGTTTCTCTCAAATCAGGGAATTCTGCCTCCAGTCGATGAAAAAGCGTAAGTGACCTTTTAAAATCAAATAAACGCTTTCTAAGATTGTGAATTAAATAGCGAAATGTTGCGAAAAGCAATAAAGGCCCGCGACTTGTACGGCCTTGTTTTCGACGACGTTAAGAAAATGCAAGCTATGAAACACTTGCGAGAAGCAGAGGCGGGACCAAATCCACCACCCCCGGGTACTCGCACTGACGACCCTACTCCAAGTATCGAAGGGGCTGTTGTGCCCTACACTGACACAAGTTTAATGACGCGAAGCGTTCAAAATAACACACAAAACCAGCTTGCTAACTTAATGAAGAAAGTCCCCACAATGCCAAAACCGAAATGGCACGCCCCTTGGAAATTATACAGGGTGATTGCGGGTCATTTAGGGTGGGTTAGATGCGTTGCAGTGGAACCAGGGAACGAGGTATGACAATAATAATGAAAAAGTTGCTTTATTTATGACTGATTTTGTATTTAGTGGTTTGCTACCGGTGCAGCGGACCGAATTATCAAAATTTGGGACTTAGCAAGTGGCCAATTGAAGGTGTCTCTAACTGGGCATGTAAGTACAGTTAGAGGGCTGGCTGTGAGCAGTAGACACCCTTATTTGTTCAGTTGTGGTGAAGACAGACAAGTCAAGTGTTGGGATTTGGAATACAATAAAGTTATTAGACATTACCATGGACATTTATCCGCAGTATACTCTCTAGCGCTTCACCCCACAATCGATGTTTTGTTAACAGCAGGACGTGATTCAACAGCCCGAGTTTGGGACATGAGGACTAAAGCAAATGTTCATACTTTGACTGGTCACACACACACGGTTGCAAGTGTGGTTGCACAAGCCTCTGAACCTCAAGTTATTACTGGATCTCATGACACTACAATCAGATTATGGGATTTAGCTGCTGGGAAATCAGTTTGTACTCTTACAAATCACAAGAAGAGTGTCAGAGATGTGATTCTTCATCCCACTTTGTAAGATTGTTTAGTTATTTCGTTGTGATTATTAATTGATTTGTTTGCAGAAACATGTTCGCATCAGGCTCGCCAGATAATATAAAACAGTGGAAATGTCCCGATGGCAAATTTATACAAAACTTGTCTGGTCATAATGCTATTGTTAATTGTCTCGCTGTCAATCCAGAAGGCGTGTTGGTTTCAGGAGGTGATAACGGAACTTTACATTTCTGGGATTGGAGGACTGGTTATAATTTCCAAAGATTACAAGTAATTTGCAATATTATAGCAAAGAAATTGTTTAATGTTAAATTTATAGGCCCCAGTACAACCAGGTTCAATGGACAGTGAAGCGGGAATATTTTCAATGATTTTTGATAATTCTGGTTCAAGACTAATCACAACTGAAGCTGATAAAACTATTAAAATATACAAAGAAGATGAAACGGCAACTGAAGAAACGCATCCTATTAACTGGAAACCGGACATTTTGAAACGGAGGAAATTCTAATTTAATGATTAAAATAATTTCTAATTTTATATATCAATAAATTAATTTCAGTGAAAACAAAATTACTTTCTACTACAAATTCCGAGATATAGGCAACATTTCAATTTCAAAGAGTTAAAAGCGTAAAATTAAAAAAATCGGTTTTAGTAAGTTGTTATAAAAAAACAGTACAACGTTTACGTTCGCATTTACCACAGACGACTTAGAATCGTATACTAACAATTAGCATGTTTTCAAATTTTAAGCAAATTTTTTTTGTTAACCTGAATAAGAGTAATTTATTTTTGGAGCTCGAAAACTGACCATATTGCATCGTTTAAAAGAGCAAATCTTAATTTTCAAGTCCCAATACAACCAGGATTAATGGACAGTAAAACCGGATATTTTGGGGAGACGAAATTCTAATTTAGGTACTGATTAAAATAATTTCTGATTTAATATCAATAAATTAATTACACAAAGTAAACTGGAATGCTTGTTACCAATCATATTTCTTCATTCAAGTCATAGTCCTCTACGGGGAAGTCTCCACACTCCACATTGTGTGGTTTAACAAAAGCACCATAATTATTTGCACATTCAAAATATTTCTTGCCTTTAAATCTGTAGTAAAACTTGTTACTGAAATTTAATTAAATGCTTACTTATAACTTACGTTCCATCGTTTTTACCCAAAGGTTCATCGTACTTGACTCCAATCCAATATCCAGGTAAGGTTTCAACAGGCCCTGTGTACATTACGGTCCCAAGTCTACAAGGAGCATTAGCTACAGTAACTTTGCATCTAGAACCAATTGGAGTGTTTTCTGCCAATTGCTTTTCTTCAGACATTTGCTTTTCTTTCTTTTTGATATTCTCCTCATTATATTGACCTAACAATTTACAATTATATCTTCAATGTTATCGCTTTCAATGGATAATTTACCCATTTTATTTTTCATTAAAAATGCCTTGACAGAATCTGACTTTTTGTTATATTCCTCCTCAGGTAATTCATACTTAGGCACGTCTCCAAAATCAAGCTCATTACGTATATTAAACTGGTCAACCACGTGTAGTCTCATTCCATCATCTAAAGGGTAAGAACCAAGCAAAGCTTCATTATTTGAAAGTGAACAAATGTGTTTATTATCCTTGTTATAAGCTTCAATTTGCATCGTGTTGCAATTGCCCCCTGTTATTAATTCAAGTTTTGCCTGAAAATTTTCAATTCATATCTCATTTCGTCGGAAAGTGAATAAATTACCTTTAGGTCTGATATGGTTATGTCCTTTGGAAATCGTTTTTCGTTGAAGGATACATCATCCTTAGATGTGCTTATGTGTAATTTTACAAAATCAGATGTAATTACTTTAAAATCGGCCATAATGCACAAATATTTCAAAAATTTTCAACTTCAAAAATGTTTGGATGATTTTGTAAATCACTAATAATTTTTTTTCTGAAGTACATGAAAGCCAACCCAACAAAAAAAATAATAACATAAAAAATAATTTTTTGATTCTTTAACACGTAATAAATTTAACAAAACTAAGTCAACTGTGTACGAGCTAGAAATTCACAGTTTATATCAACAACAATAAAAATTACATTAGTGATTAATTTTAAATAAAGAAATTTTTTGTCCAAATATTATAGTTATTTTGGTTGTCCTGTTTCTGTACTTGCTGACAATTGACAACTGACACTTCGAAACGATTGTAACCTCACTTTTGCATGTGTTTTAGAAAGTCAAGGGGGTTTAAAAATCATGTCTAGTAAGAAGCCTCCGAAACAGACAAACACTAAACCGAAAGGTAAAGCCAAAGTAAAAATTTTCAACAACAGAAAGAAAGCAACAACCCCGGAGTCGATTTTTATTGAAAAGCTACAACAAAAATACGAAACTGTAAGTTTTGTGGTTTTCATAATCGACTAATATGGTGTTTAAACATGTTTTTCAGATTGATGTTTCTGGCATTAACAGTTTCAATGACTTACCTTTATCCCCAAAGACTCAGAAAGGGCTTAAAGAATGTGGTTATACTAAACCTACAGACATTCAAAGAGAAACAATAAAATTGGGGCTGACGGGCAAAGACATACTTGGAGCCGCTCAGACGGGTTCGGGTAAAACTCTTGCGTTTCTTATCCCAATTCTGGAACGTTTGTATTGCAAACAATGGACAAAATTGGATGGTCTTGGTGCTTTGGTTATCACGCCTACCAGAGAGTTGGCTTATCAGATTTTCGAGGAGTTGCGTCGAGTTGGGGAACATCATGATTTTTCCGCTGGTTTAATTATCGGTGGGAAAGATTTGAAGTTTGAGAGGAATAGAATGGATCAATGTAATATTGTGATTGGTACACCTGGCCGCCTTTTGCAACACATGGATGAAAACCCATTATTTGATTGCGTAAACATGGAAATACTGGTCTTGGATGAGGCTGATAGGTGTTTAGATATGGGTTTTGAACAAACCATGAATGCAATTGTGGCGAATTTACCATCAAAGCGTCAAACTTTGTTATTCTCAGCAACACAAACTAAATCAGTGAGGGATTTGGCACGTTTAAGTTTGAAAAATCCTGCCTATGTTTCTGTGCATGAACATAGCGAATATAGTACACCGGAGGGTCTGCAACAAAGTTATGTTGTTTGTGACCTAAAAGATAAAGTTTCAATTTTGTGGAGTTTTATCAAAAATCATTTAAAACAGAAGAGTATAATATTCCTTGCGAGCTGTAAAGAAGTCAAATACATTTATGAAATATTTTGCAGGTGAGCCCCTTATTTGTTGGTTTTAATACTAGATTTAATTCTTCCGAATTTTCTAGATTAAGGCCTGGTGTTAGTTTAATGGCTTTGTATGGCACTCTTCACCAGTTGAGAAGAATGGATATTTATGAAACTTTCTGTAAGAAAACCTCAGCAGTACTTTTTGCGACTGACATTGCGTCGAGAGGCTTAGATTTTCCAGAAGTTCATTGGGTGGTTCAAGCTGATTGTCCCGAAGATGCAGCAACTTACATTCATCGTGTTGGAAGGACTGCGAGGTTTTTCAGGGGAGGAGAAAGTCTGCTTCTTCTTTTACCAAGTGAATTAAAAGTGTTGGATAATTTGAAAGAGAAGAAAATTCCGATTGAAAAAATAGAGTAAGTTTTGAATTTTTGATTTTATGAGTCTATTTGTAAAAAATATTAGAATAAACCCCTTGAAACTCAACAACCCCGTGCGTAAAATGGAAGCCTTTCTGGCCAGAGACCCCGCATTGAAGGATACAGCACAAAGGGCTTTTGTTTCTTATGCCAAATCAGTGTTTCTTATGAAGGACAAGAAAGTGTTTAATGTCCAGGCGTTGGATACAGATTCGTTTGCACATTCTCTTGGTTTAGCGATTCCTCCAAGAATACGATTTTTGCAAAGACTGAATGCTAGGTCAGGAAAAAAACAGCAAAGTAAAAATAAAATTTATTTTGATGATGAAGATAATGATGAAGTTAAAGAAAAGGTCGTGTCAACGGACAGTGGTGTAAGCGACGATGAAAAACCTTCAGCTCCATTTCACGTGTCTGAGGATAGTGACAGTGATGACGGAGTTTTAAAAGTGAAAAGAAAAGATCATGACATAGATTTACCAACTGATTTAGAATTAGAAGAAAACGGTAGAAACAAAAAGAAGAAACCTGTGACAAGAGCAGCAGTCGTTAAGAAATTAATAAAGAAGAAAATTATTCCAAATAAGAAAATTATCTTTGACGATAGTGGTGAAGCAGTGAGTGTAGGCTTGAAAGACAAGAAATCGCAGTTGGCACAAGAGTACGAAAATGAAGATAAAGGTGGTATTGATATTGAGACAGCGAAACTGGTACTTAAGGAAGAAGATAAGTTTGATAAACAGCTGTTTAAAGATAAAGTGAAGGCGAAACATAAAGAGGAAAAACGGAAACTTAAGGAACAAAAGAAGGAGGAAGAAGCGGAAAAGGATGAATTTGGAGAATCAGAATCTGAGAATGAACCTGATTTGTCATGGCTGCCCGATCCTGACAAAGTCTATGGAAAAAATGAAGAACTGGATGAAGACAATAGCATTGCAAAAAAGGAACCAATTAAAGAAAAGTGAGTATGAGTGACTCTGTATGTCTAGTTTTTAAAAATGTTGATTTAGGCCAAAAAAGAGAAAGCTGGAACCAGGAACTACAAAGAAGGAATTACCGGTCAAAAAGAAGAAAAAAGGGAAAATTAGCGAAATTAGTTCAAGTCTTAATGTTAATGAAGTGGAAGAATTGGCATTAATGTTACTCAAAAGTAAATAAAACTTTATATTTTTCAAATATTTATCAAAACCTTTAAAAACGAACTATTTTATCTGATGATCTGTGCAAGAACACTCTTCAATCCAGTCTTTGGGATTTTTTAAAACTTTAAGTAGTTCTCCTTCAGGTGATTCAGGAGCTGGTTGGTGCATGTATTCCCACCTCTGTGAAATGTAATATAATGTTTTTTTTTGCACCCTAATATCAACTTACCGCCAAGAGAGGTAATGACATTAAAATGCTTTCAAACCTAGCATCAGGTGTATTAAAGCCGAACTTGGTACCTCTATCCCAAACTAAATTAAACTCAACATAGCGTCCTCGTCTTAACAATTGCCAGTTTCTTTCAGTCTCGGTGTACACGGCATGTTTATGCCTTTGCACTGAAATATTTCAATAATAACTACCAATTGCATAATATCAAGAATTTACCTAAAGGAATGTACGAGGGAATGAAAGCAACAGCACAATCAGTAGCAAACTTGAAACAAGATTCCCTATCTGGAGTATCCAAATCATCGAAAAATATCCCCCCAATACCTCTCGTTTCTTTGCGATGATGAATTGTGAAATAATCATCGCACCACTTCTTAAACTTAGGATAATAACTTTTGTCATGTTTATCACAAGTATCTTTAAGCGCAGAGTGAAAATGTATAGCATCAGCCTTGTTCAGATAGTAGGGAGTGAGGTCACTTCCACCCCCAAACCACCATACAACCTTATCCTCATCCTGGATTTCAAAATACCGGTAATTGAAATGTACAGTTGGCACCATTGGGTTTTTCGGGTGAATCACAGCACTAATCCCGATAACGGAAAACGGGGGATTCTCCCGTTTCAATTCTTTGCCTCGCGCCCGCATCTGCGCCACGATGCCGGGAGTCAAATTCCCGGAAATGACCGAAATGTTGACTCCAGCTTTCTCAAAGACTTTACCTTCTTGGAGGACACAAGTTATACCACCGCCGCGGCCGTCGTGACGCTCCCACTTATCCACCAAGAATTTGTTACAGTGGTCTTCCTCCTCCAAAGCTTTACAAGCTTCAGCCTGGACTCGAAGCACCATCAGTTCCATACGGGTTTTCATGTCATCGGGGGTCTTCTCTAGTTGGGGCAAGGGGGTTATAGGTGGTGCCATGAAGGTGCTAGTGTCTATTTTTGTTTTGCGGGATGAGAAAAGGGCGAAGCCTCCGATAAAAACCGGGCCATATCGCCTTTTGCCAAGTTTATTTATAAGTTTGGTTATGTCATGGTAACTATGATAATTGTTTAAAAAAAGCGCCTTACCTTAATTTTGACAAGTCACGTTGGCGTTGATAATAAATTAATGAGCAGTTTTTAATTATTACTTTGAGGTACATGTCTAAAGGGCAAGTTTTATGTTAAATGTTAGTCAGGCAAAAATGAAAAATGTGTAAAAATATCAGATTAGATACGTTATTGTGTCAAATCAGCTGTTAGTTGGCTAGCATTTGTTTTCAGGTGGGAGGATCCACGTGCGTCGCTATCGCGTATCTTTGTCTAATCAGTGTGGAGTTTGAGACAGCGCTAGGTGGGAAGGTCTTAGCGCACTGCGCAAAGCAACATGTGGTATTTTTTTCTGTCATATTGATCTGTCAAGTGCTGCGGGTTTTTTAATTGTTGTCGACACCACGACACCGTCAACTAGTCGGTATTTTGGCTAATTTATAGTAAAGTCTTCAGGTGTCTTAGTGTGACACTCATCGTGGAGGTGCAAAATCGCAATTGCGCGTTGTGTGTGTCCTTATAGCGCAGAATTAGGAGCGTGTGGTCGTAGCTCCGCTCTCCCGATATTGACTTTTCACGAGGATCCCGTGGGTCGGTGAGAACCGCGACTGCAGGATAACGTGGACACGCTCGACACGCTTATCTTGCTGGAGTTCCAGGCACAAAGCGCATTGCCAAAGGTCCGTACCTCGCGGAGCGGTTCGTGCAAGAGTCCGTCGATAGTCGATACTTTTGCTGCAGAATGGTGTGATCCTCTCTGCAGACGGCGCGATCTCACTAGGACACTGCATCCATTCCCCGGAGCCATGAAACGCGACAAGGATCCAGACCGACGAGACGTCATGAAGAAGTTCACGTTCAAAGGCGTTCTGGAGAACTTCCGCACTTCTGTGGCGCAGCAAGTCAAGCCCGACCAGGAAATCCAAGAGACTCTGCGGCCAGAAAACTTCCAAGTCAAGAGGGTGAGTGTCTGATACCACTGATAAGCAAATTGCTTTCACAGACTAAAATAACAATGCGGGTGTTGTAAGTACAAATTATTTTTTAATTTATTCACGCCAATTACGTAATCAATGGATTTATTTTACAACTCCAAGAAACGGGAGTGTGCTATTTTCCGGTTGTAAATCACAATAATGGATTATCGGTGAAACCAATCTACGCTCTATAATAATTAACAATTTTATCATAATATTTTAAACTATAGACTATTTTTAATATAAGTTTACGAACTGCATTGCAAACCGAACGATTTTCATCAACTCTGTCACTATCGTGCTTTATATTAATAAAATACTACAGATTATTCAGCTGATAAGATAATACCTTATTCAATGTCAGTTTCTAGTTTACTAACAAGAGTGTTGAATGTTGATAGTAAAAAGAAAACTTAATAAAAGCTACTTTACATTTTGTTTGTTATAGGATATTGTGTACTTTTTTCCAGCAGACATTGCACGACGTTTAATAAATAGCAAAGATAAACGCATTTAGAATTGTATAATCTGTAAATACTGCTGTAAAATGGACGCAAAATAATAGCATCTACAAATAATAGTATCGCGTGTTTTATTTTGATAGATATTTTGTCTCTTTTTGTCCTTCATTTATTTTACTTTCTATGTCAAACAGATTATTTCTCTTAAGAATAAATTGTTTTATAAATTCTGTTTACACACTTTCTTTAAATACGTTTCTATTATTATAAATAACCGATTTTTTTGTAACAACTTGGTTTAGTTGTAATTAAAAACGATAAATAAATAAATCAAAGTTTTAATAAATACATCTATTGTTTATTTCAGTTTGTAATACAATATTTCAAAATGTTGAACAAAGGATCGTACAATTTAAAATTATTGCGATATTACGGATATCTTTCAATTAATTACATGGACAAAATGGATACAGAGTTACAACAAAAGAGTGATGAACACAAACACAATTTAAACCAAAAATAATTAAAAAATAAATAAACCATAAAAGTTTGGTGTATTCAATAAATACACTTATATTGGGTTCTACTTCAGTTATCCTCTACCATATCACATTTTTTAACAATTTAAGAAACAATGTATTTTTTTTAATTGTGTTTTAAATTAATTTTACATTACAAAACCTAACTCAAAGTAATCATTCTATTAAGAAAAAATCTAAATTAAGAATTTTGCGCATTTAATCAATTGCAACAAAATTAACTTCTAGATTTTTATGACATTAGCGAAACATCCAACAGTAGTCTACCCATCTCTTTGGTATCTTTTCTCCATCTACCATCTTTATTTTTCACATATTAAATAATTAAATATGCTCACACTTGTTTGAAATAACTACAATAAAATTAGTCTAGGAAAACTGCTAAAATGTAACCTGCTTGGTTTTTATTTTTGATACCTATTATCAAAATGGATTCAACTGGGATCTAAAAAAATTTTTAAATACAGATTTGTTGTTGGTTTTATCATAATAAAATATTAATATTTTTAATTTTATGTTTATTTAGGGATTTGAAGTAGCAAGTAATAAAAATAGTAAGTTATTTTATAATTTGTTTTGATCGTATTACATACCTAATACATTTCATTTTGTTATTGTTTATTATTTGGTTATAATGAAAATTTAGTAAAACATGTTAATGGTAAATAGGTTACTTTAACCAAATTAACAATTTATAGTATGTAATATCTTGTTTATTTGTAGCTATATGAGTATTTTATGTGTTTGTAATAAAGTCAAACTAATATCCGCATTATAATTACTTTGTAAAGTTGCACACATGACATACAGGGTGTTAAAAAAAGATGGTAAAACATTTAAGGAGGTAATAGAATTTTTACTAGAAGCTTCTCTTTTTTGTTTGTTTACAAATGTTGCAAAAAACGAATATTTTTTTATTTCTCCGAAGCCGTTACTTTGCGGACCTATGTTTATTAAAACTTTTTTGTGTGCAACTGTCAAAAAACGTCACTTTTTTGCTTGATTTTGAGTCGTGAAATAGCACATTTGTTTATAGTAAAATAAAACCTTGACAACGTAATATGTGATTACAAACATTGTTAATTATACATACAGGGTGAGCCACAACTCGCGTCCCAGAGAAAAATGCCATAAAAGGTAATATACCAGGAACATGGAAAAAGTGTTACAAAAATTTTATCTATAAAAATTTCGAAGTTATGAGGGTTTAAAGTTTGTACTTTGACTCTATTTATTTCTATTGGAAAAATATTTTTCAAAGTTTTTTGCTATAGGCTATTAAAAGAGGAAACAAGGAAGCTGTATCTTAAATTGTAACTCTGTTCAATGTTATTTGAGGCTTTTATTGGCAAAATTTTTGTCCCTTTACTAAATAATTGTAAAAAAACATATACAAGATCATCAGTATCATTAAATAGATATAAAAAAATGTCAAATGTCAAAAAATAAATGTCAAAATTATTTGACATGTGCTGTGCCAGAACTCGCGCCCCAGAGAAAAATTTCAAGTAAGGTAAGATACGAGGAACATGAAAAAAATGTTTAAAAAATTCTATCTGTCAAAAAATTTTGACATTTATTTTTTGACATTTGACATTTTTTATGTCTATTTAATAATACTGATGATCTTGTATATGTTTTTTTTACAATTATTTAGTAAAGGTACAAAAAATTTGACAATAAAAGCCACAAAAAACATTGGACAGAGTTACAATTTAAGATATAGCTTCCTTGTTTTCCTCTTTTAATAGCCTATAGTAAAAAAACTTGGAAAATTATTTGTCCAACAGAAATACATAGTCAAAGTGCAAAATTTAAACTCTCATAAATTCGAAATTTTCATAGATAAAATTTTTTTAACATTTTTTACATGTTCCTGGTATCTTACCTTATATGGCATTTTTCTCTGGGCCGCGAGTTTTGGCGCACCCTGTATATAAAGCACAAGGAGTAATGCTATTACCACCGAGGTTTGTATGCTATTTTATTCACAATCACATTATTTTTAGTCAAAAATTTGAATAAAATAAAATTCTAACATAGTTAAGGTTTAAACGTGGTAGACCATCTAAATTGCGTTTGATTTTTGACATTTCAGAAATGTCAAAAAAATATTAAAATAATGTGTGAAAAAATTGTTGAAATGGAGCAGTGCGCTCTCTCAGAAGTAAGAAAAACTGCTACAAAAGCAATTGAATACTAATTTAGCAAAATATTATGCGTAACTTGACAATTTGAAAGAAAAAATTGCCGGTATTTTTGTAATCTTAACCTGCATATTGCTGCCCAAGAGAAGTAATGTTATTGTTATTACTCCTCATGAGATATAATGACGTGTTTCCTAACCTTTAAAAGGTTAGTAATCGGCATATTACATTGGTGATTGTGAATAAACGTTATTTTGTCAGGATAGAAATCGTGATCGTATCTTTTCAACCATCGATTCTTCTCCCAATCACCATTACAAAATTCAGACATCAATCTAAATGACTGGTGAGTGGAGAAGGAATGAGCTGTCCAGAATCCTAATATAGAATCAATTTCTTTTTCTTGTATGTATTGTGATTTCATAAGAATGCTATTGGAAAATATATTTTTAATTTTTATTTCCCATATTACTTTTGACGCCCCACCTTAATTTACTCAGAAATTGACTTTGGGTTTAAATATTAGAGAAGTTTTAGTCTCATTGATATTTTTTGTTTAAGTTTCCAATAACAGAAAAGGGTGAAGGAGGTTTAGATGTATGAGGTGGAACAGAAGTGAAATATGGCACGTGTTTCATTATTTATAGATATTAGGAAGTCTATGGAAGTCGTGTCGAACATTACTTATACACTACATTTTATAGAAACGTAACGAAAATCGACTTTTAGGGAATGAAAATGTGTTAATTTGTATTTTCTTTGGTTTGTATCAAAGGTAAAGATGGTAAATATAACTAAATATTTTGTTACATTATTAATTAGAATTGCCAGTTAACGGGGTGAAGTGGATCACATATTGTCAAGTAAGGTGACGTTACTTCAGTTCCTACCTAGGTGGAGATTGTTTCGAAAACAAATGATTTTTTATGTTTACACTTTTTGTTTACAAAAAGTTTAATCTAATATTTAATTAGCGTTTATTGACATGCGCCACCGAAGAGATTTTTTAGATAGCCTACCTAATAACGTAATCTGTCGGGAATTTTTTTAATCATTTTAATCTTTTTGACTTTGTAAAAATGTTTCATAAAATAATAAAAATAATCCATTTTTGTTGAATGGATTACGGAGCTTTTTTTTGTAATAAGATTACCGCTTGCTTTTACGTTGCAATAACTCTTCATATTAGGTATATGAAAGTTTTGTTATGATTTATGTTGGAGCGTAAGTGCGCTTTTTGTGCACCTACTCAATGTTGGGATCCATAGTCAGGAAACAAGAGATGAATGTTGTTATACAGAGTGATTCAAAAGCGTCGGATTTTCTCTTGTGTGGTGATAAAGGACATCCAACTGAGTTAAAAGTTTTCATGACAAAAAATTGTTTGAGCATTTTTGACGAGGTACTTATACCTCACAGGTTAGACTTTGGGTTAAGTGTTTGCTCGTTCATATCATGTTTTTTTTTTTTAATATAGTTAGCGGAAGCTGCGATCTTGCAATATTGAACAGATACCTATTGAAAAATTACTAATTTGTGTAGGTACAAAACATTTAACAAATGTTTTCAACAATCAATCAAAGAAAAACAATTCAACAATCAATCAAAGAGCCGAAGTTTCCTACAAGATAATATGGAAATTGACAGTTCTGTTTTTTCTCAAAAAAGGCTTGAAAAACAAATCTAAATTTATTTTTATGCTTAGCTGAAAGTCTTCTGTCACCATTCGAGAGTTGGTCCCACACTTTTGAATCATTTTGTATATCAGTCTTATATTATAATCAAGTAGCGAGTACAACTGAACGAACAGAACACCAGAATAGTATATCAAAGTACAA